TTTCCGCTGGCCAACATACCCGACAGTATAAATTCTGAATTAAGTGCGACACAAGTGCGACGTATGAATCGACAGTCGCATTTCTGCCGCACTTAATTGAATTGAATTCGACACGGCAGAAATGCGACGTATGAACCGGACCTAAGGCCCGGTTCAATTCATTGAATTGAATTCGACACGGCAGAAATGCGACGTATGAACCGGGCCTATGTGTATCAAGTGGGAAAAGCCTGACCTTAATCAACAGGTCAAACAGATCAATTTGACGCTTTCCCTATAGCTGCACGCGCACGCGCACGCGTACGCGCATCTTTTTATTTCCGTTAACTTCGAAATTTATCTAGCGTATTGTTTTCCAACGCAATGTAACGTATGATTTGTAACAGGCACGTTTAAATCACTGTAAACTTTCATAACCGTCACACTGACGATGACGGAAGTACCGTCGAAACATGTTTGTGAAAATTAAAAAAGTCGTATTATTTTTGAAAATTTCTACAATGAAATATACTTTGATTTTACACCGCATCATCTTCCCTAACAAACAGAACAACATGATAGAATACCTCTACTTCACACGGAAACAAAGCAAATACTTATGAAAGTTCACGCTTATTAAGTAACAAAATTAACACAATAAAGTCAGGAGCAGTGGACGCGTACACTACCAAATCTTATAAAGATTTATCTCAGCTTGTTTTCGCGCGAGTATCGCAACGTAAAATGAAATCAATTGTTTTAAGCGACGTAAGTTGTTAAAAGCCATGAAGACTTAAGAGTTAGCCGAAATTTCTCAGTAACATAAAACAGAATATCCGTCAGCTGCAAACATTTATCAACTTTTCAGTAAGTACGATCAGCAATGATCAGTTGCAGATTCGAACATGTGTTCAAGAGGGGGTGGGGGGGAGGGGGGAGGGAGGGGGCCATGCATGGGGTCGGCGGAATGAATATGTGACGTTTCTCTCTACAAGATTGGGGTGTAGGGGTAAATTATTCGGCCTTCTTTGGCGCGTGTGGTAAAAGGATTTGTGTAGATTGTGGTTTGAATTTGTTTCTCTTTTGAAATTGTTCAAGCAAGTTAGCGAGTGACCTTTTATCTGACAAAATAAAACAAAAATCGAAACGGTTTTAAAATTGCCCCCTCGCCACGCCCCCCGCCAAAAAAAAAATTAAAAAATTCCTCACTACAACAGTTTACCTTACGAACCACAATAACATGTACCTGGTGACGTTTTGGACCCAAGAGAGATGTTTTAAATGCTAGGCACACACGGCAAGCCGAGATAACTGCAATCTTTCTGAAAGATCTCCACTGAACAGTTGTGGGAGATCGGAAAGTAACCGGATTCTTCTTTGAGCTTTTGTCTAAAATCCAGCACAAAATAAGTTAACTTACTCGGCTCCTTTTGTGACTTTGCCAGGTTTTGGAGACAACTTGGCAGGTTCCTGAAGCGAGAAAAACAACATTGGAGTCATAAGTAGAACCCACGATAGCAACAGACAATTGCTGAATGGGAGCAACGTCTAAGAATTGCATTAACCCAGGTATTGACTAATCTCCCTTGCATTGCCTTGCATGGCTACCATTGTTTAGAAAAACTTTCTTGCACCCATAGATTTAACTCTATCATATTACTTCGGATGTAACTAAGTTAAGTTTAGTCGTAAGAGCAACTTTAAAATAATAATTATATAATGCTAGTTGAGATTTTGATTATTATGAATTTTATTTCTTATTTAGGGCATGGTAAAACTTCAGATAATGTTATATGGTTTACATTGAGGCCTCACCGCGTAATAAAGCCTATTTCGGCAGCATGAAACAACTACGAGAAGTAGAAGTATTGCTACATCCCCCTGACACTGAACAGAACGAAGATTACCCCACCCCCTCTCCAGTAATTTAACAATCACCAACCATCACAAGTCCTCGTTTGGAGAATGACATACTATAGTTGCTCCTCTCAGCCCCCACCCCTCCAAAAAAGGTTCTTCACCAATTGAAAAGAATATACAGTTTGTAAATATCTAAATAAAATAAAATAAAATGATTAACGACTTGTCTGACCAAGAAGAAAGAAGAAAAACCTACCCTTGACACGTCAGCTACCTGTAAATACAAACAGAAAGCAGGTCATCTAATTGATGGAATCCCACGAAGGGTGACAGAGAAGACATTTTGCCTCGTTACATGGAAACACTGGGGCCATGGGGACAAAATACATCGCAATTGGTTGTCGGTAAACAGTGATTCTTTAGAATGTAGCAAAAGGCCTAGGAGGCACAAGATTTACACACATACACACTACTCGTACAACCACGTTACTTTACTTTCACGGGTACCTTATCACTCTATCGATATCTATTCACGAACAATACGCTCATTTTTTGCCCAAATCACGCTTAACGCAAATACCTTCTACGTGCACTGACTTCCACCAACGAATGACCGCTGGATTTTCGCCCAAATCGCGCGTCACGCATGCATGCATAACATACTTTCATTAAGTCTTCCTTCAGGTGTAGGAAGCTAACCAGTACAGAGCTTAATCTCATTTTCCTTAGCATGACGGAAATAGACGTATTTTGACAAGCCCTATCACCTACATGGAATACTAGTCTATCGAAGGCTGCCCTGTAACATTAGCAACTCACTGGCTGTCATTGATACACCTGGCTACAGAGGGACAATACAAGAGTAAAGTGTCTAGGAAAGAGCTCAGTCAGGGCTTGAGTGAGTACCGCTCTTAGGTCGCTGGTCTTCTCTTAAACGCCTTGAAGAATAACTGCATAATTTACAAGGTGGAACCTCCCTTAACCGGACATCCTCAGGACTTCGTCTAGGTGTCTGCTCGCGGGAGTTTGAGGTGTCCGTTCGCAGAGATGTAAAAGGTTCTATTTTAACAAACAGTTTGAGAAAACTAACCTTTCTCGAAGTAAGGTGAACATCAATAACCAGCCATTTCCATTTCTCAACCTTAACATCTTTGTCTACCAGTGGCTCTCGGATTCTCATGTGAATTTCAATTTTTCCTCCAACTGCTTTGCGTCCCTTTTCCATGTCCATTAACTTAAGAGAAACAACACAGTGACATTTAACAACTTTCCTTATAAAGCACCTGTACACAGTAACGGCGACAATATTTAAGATCAAATCGAACATGTAAGCCAGTGATCTTTGCTGTGGTTGTCAAGCAACTGAGACGGTCACAAAGAAAAGTCGGACATTTTCGTCTTTTTGTGGCGCAGTCACTCACAGAAGCTTTGCTTTTGTCGTAAAATTACCGGAAAAGTTTGCGACTCTATTAACCAATTAACAAATGGTAAACGTCATAGCGTGTACTATTGAGTTATGGATGCACGCGGGAGGTTGCTAAGCACGAGAGAAGCGTAAGAGTCGCACGAGGCGATAGCCGAGTGCGACTCTAGCTTCTTGAGTACTTAGCAAACCTCCGAAGTGCATCCATAACTCAATAGTGCACGCTATGGCGTTTACCATTTGTTTTATAACATAACATTGAGACATTGGAACAACAGAAGTCCTTTNAGACAGTTTCGCATTTCTGGCAGAAGAACGTCGGCCATTACTTTGGAAACAATGTCTGTCAAAAGATTTGCTTTGTAAACACTAGCACACACGTCAGCAACGTACACCCATGGGCAAATAGTAAACGCTAAATTAACCAATCAGAGCGCGCGCTTTGCTTTAGTTATGTTATAATCAAAAGTAGCATGGGCTGTCCGAAACTCTCACGTCAGCGTTTCGCCATCGGAATACGTCACGTGACTTGGCATTGCAAGATCAGTCAAATTTAGACTTTGTTCGCAATTATTTAATGTGACGCCTATTGTTAGTTTCTGCAATCAGAACATTGACAAAGGAAGAGACAAAACAGGTACTTACATCAAAACAGTCGTGAATTTCACACTTGTTGTCGAATGGGGTCAGCTTGAGTTGTACTTGTCCTAAAGCCTTGTCACCCTTTAGAAAACCCCTGGAAAATATTTCATGATTTCGCGATCAGGAACACGGAACCATAACAGAACTACTGACTGTCTGAGAGTAGCTGTTATCGCCGTTATTAGAGGTTTGACATACAAATGAGGCGAAAGGGTCAATTCTGCTCTGTATTGACCCTTTCGCAGCCTTTTCCAACAAAAGAATATTTGACCGCAGATTCAACTGCAATAACAGCTATTAGCCTCCTTACCAACAAACCTCAATCCCCCACATTCTACAGATAATTTCAAGTCCCCCAAGTAAGCATCAATGTTGAGTTTGTTTCTAATTCGGACTGTCTTTTAGGTCAGAGATCTTAAAAGGTCATCTGATATCTTCACGAAGAAAGTTCTTATTTGGAGCTTGGCTCTTTTTCAGCCAGGTTTTTGGGCAAAAGCACCCACTGAATAGGCTCAACCGCACTCACTGAATGGCTTCTGAATGGGCTCAACCGCATTCAAACGGAAAAATTCCCTTCAGCCCTTCAGACAGCTCTAAGAAAAGCGTTTTGAACAAAGAGAACCTCGACAGTTTTCAAGGCCCCCAAGAGTAAGCTAAACAGACCAAACACCAGTACAAAATATTTACAACATGCTCTGCATTGTAGAAAAAAAGAAAGACAAGACCATGACCAAGAACGCATACCTTTCATATTTGACTTCAAATTTGACCGGCTGTCTTTTGAATGTTCGCCCTAATGACCGGTTTTTCCTATCTATATTAACTTTGAAAACCTCATTATATTCTGCAAGAAATCAAACGAGAAATATGTACATTAGTTCACTCAGACTGAACTAAAACAAGACGATAACTAGTAGAATCATAACAGCAGATCTACCTGGGTTGATGGAGTGTTTTATAGTTTGTGTTCGCCCTGTCTGTGGCTCATCAGCCTTGAAAAGAATCAATCAATCAATCAATCAATCAATTAAATAAATACCTAATTGATAATTAGGTGATTGAAACCCGACCACTCTGAGCCAGAAAGAAAAAATCGAAAACGCAGGTTTCTTTCTATGGTTAGGCCCAGTGGCGGATCCAGACCTTGAGCTTTTATGTAGCTTACTCAGGACTAGTCTACACTTACTAGAAATCAGATTTGGAGTCAGAGTTAGAAATGCATACAGTAAGTGCACATTCAAATATTNGGGGGGGGGGGGGGGGGGGGGGGGGTTGTGCTTGCCCTGCCGGCTTTTCTTCCTCCCTTCTTTTTTAACTAAAAAGAGGGGACCCCGGCCCCTCCCCTAGATCCGCCACTGGCCTACTGTGTACACTAATCCGTGACGAAAACAGAACTTTTCGAAAACGCTTTGCAAACCGGAAGAATTGGAAAACGCCATTTCCGATTTACCTGGTGTCTTTGTGCAAAACTATTCATAATTAAAATGTCCTAACATTAAGCCATTGTGTACCAATCCATACAACAAAGAGTTACCGAGGTGATGGCGCAGAACAGAAAGTGTTGGTTTGAGAATGTGGCTGCCTTATGTGCCTATACTTATGTACTTACACTCGGAAAAGGAAATTCATAGGCTACGTAAGTGTACATGTCCTTTGGTTGGTAACCTGTAAAAAACGAAGTGGAAAGAACTACATTTAACGTCTTTGCTCCAAGATCAGACCAAGATTCTCCTTACAGTTTTTCATGCATTTCTACAACTTACCTTGGGAGAATTTGGCTTCAAGTCAATATTTTATCAGCCTTAAAGAATATATATATACCTTTATGACAGTTGCTAGTACAAGTACCAACTTCATACTCTGTATCAGTGAAGTTTATTCACTAAGTGAGAAATTCTATATTTCTGAGTCATTACTTACAGAACTGTACTGTATAGAAGTGAACAATTTTGTTGCTAATTCGTAGGGCAGTTGGAAATCAGTTTTGTAGATCAACCACTGTTTGTTACATTACACTCCGTTTACTGAAGGGGTGTTACGCTTAATATTCATTTGCTGATAAGGTTGAACAATCACAGGAAACATCATAAGAGGTAATAAAAACAACTATTACATCTTTTTCACTTGAATTTACTTACCTGAAGGCAGAGGAATATTGAGCCCTCTAACTATGGTAATTGCCACCTCTGAATCACTTAAATCGGGGAATGAGCTGTAAAAACAACATATGACATGAGAAAATCCAGAACAAGTTACCAAACAAACAAACAAACAAAAAAACTAGACTGTCATGAAAGCTCGAACAGGTTCAAACTTGACAAGTCAGCACACAGGAGTTAATGAGAGCATGACAGGGGCTTGCAGTCTAATAAAAACTATCAAATGGTCAAAAGAAGAGCTACTTTAAAGATAACTCACTCAACAATTGTGAAAGATCTGTCTTCATAATGGAATCTTGGTGGGGGATCCTTGTGTTTCCGTGCGCTCTGCACTGCATCAAGGTCCTGACGCAAATTCTTTGCCATCTTCTCAAAGCTTCAAACATAAAAAAAAAATGGCAATCAGCAAGTCATAAGAGGTCCAAAGAGGGTTAAATTGGGGTTCAATTATGACTAAAATTTGTTGAACACTGTTGAGATCCAATGAGGGAAAAGCTACATGTAAGCATCAGTGCTACGGTATTATCCCAGGGATGTGCACAAATCGATTTAAAACTGAGAGGGAAGTACAACGTATTTTTGAAGATATGTTACAAGTTCTTAACAACTTTTGTTCTGGAATGACGTTTGATGTTTGATTAAAAGCCTTTCTTGGATGCGACAAAATGTGTGTCCAGAATTTTGGAGGATTACTTTTGACTCAGGAGCGTTCTCTTTGGAGTTACACTTGACTTTGTTGTACCAATCCATTTGGTATTTCCTTGGATATAGCCCCCACCCACCCCCACCCCCAGGATGTACAGGCATCAAATATTCTCTAATCAAAGCCTCACTGCACATTATGTTTATTACAGAAATTCTCATTTCTTTTTGGAAATTGCAATTTGTATTGTTAGTTTTTAATAAGCTCAATACCATCTTGCAGTATCAACATATGACTAACACCACTTACTTTTTAGTGTTGCTTATATCACCTAGTTTTTGGTAATGCTGACCATTTCTTACACACATCTGCGAAAAGAAAGATAACCCTTTAGATTTCTGTACATAAACAAAAAACTTCCATTGACTGAGAAACAAAACAAGAGGAACATGTTTTCAACCACATAATTTTGCATATATGTACCCTTTGCTGGGTGAAATCAATTCTACAAATGAATACAGAACATGACCCAATGAAGAACAGAACAAGTACAGCAGTGCAATGTACCTCAATTTGTTTAATAAGTGCATCCTCCAGTCGTGAGAATAGCTCAGATGTTTCTTCTGGTGTGCGAGGTGTTGGATCACAGTCTGCAGCTTGCACCATCTCAAAACTAAGCTCCATTGTGGGTGCAGCCTTAGCAGCCGTAAATGGAGACGGCGGAACCTTGTGGGGAAAACAAACACAATATTATTATTCAGCAAACACAGTCTGCACACACTACCGGATTTACATGTACACATTGTATGAGAAGGATGTCGTCAGAATCAAAATTGTACAGCGAATAAAGGTGTGTAAAGTATGTTGGAAGCGCCGGACCAATTTGAGAAATCAGCATATACTACGATACATATTTTACGGAGGCTGTTTCATAATGCAGACCCTAACTAGAAATCTCTGCTACGTGTATACTTTACCGATCCTAAATCAACTCTTAGACCATTCTGGGCTGATAGAATCATCTTGTCAAGACCCTGGAAGAAACAAAATAAAGACAGTTCTCCAATTTAGTTGACTCATAATAATAACTTCGTTAACAGGATAGATAAAAAAAACTAGTAGTTGTCCATTACATAAGGATATTACTGCAGTGGAATCCTGATTTCTCAAACCCTCGATTTTTTAATCTCCAATAACATACCTCAAAAGTCAGTTGACTGCACTATCCACCTTTTTAAACCAATTTTCATTCTCTTGGAGATTCGAAAAATCGGGACTCCTCTGAATCTTTATTTTCTTACTAAAAGTGTTTTCAATTGATTAACAAATGTTGTAATGAAAAACTAGCTGGTGATCACTCATCTTCAAGTAATTTCAACAACTTCATAGCACCATTGTGCAAAATTATCTTCATCAAATATTACAGTAGAAGATAAATATCTCTAAGACAACATGTACAAGAAGTCTTTACCTTACTCATCCTCAAGTAATTCTTAGCACCCTCCAGGTCTCCCTGCTTCTTGGACTGCAGAGCAGCTGTCTTGAACTCCTTCTGTCTTTCCAGGAGATAGTTGAGCTGTTGTTCATTGCGGCCAGGTGATTTTTTCACAGATGATGAAGCCTGGAGAGCAGGCTGGCCTGAAGGACTAGCAGCGGCTGTTCTAGAGGTACCAGCGACAGAAGATGAAGCAGCTGGTTGAGATGCAGTCCCTTGACTTGGCCCAGGGGCCTATGGAGATGTCAATCAAGTATTAGGAATGTTTACAGCTAAGGGTACTTACAGGATGAACGATTTTAAACCTCACTTAATTTCTACTATAATATTATCATAGTTACAGTTTATTTACAGACTGTTTGGATAGGCTAAGCATCAGTTTTTCAGAAATAGACTATGTTCTTGGACTACCTGTACATACTCTTCAATTAGAAAATAATTGCGTGAGCAAAATTACATTGAGGAGGACAAAACTAAACGAAGCCAGCCAAGTCTAATTTGGCAGTCACAGGATTTTTTTTAATGCAATCCTTTTCAAATTGGACTAGCATGTACCTGTAGTTGTATTAGCTGTTAATAATTTTTATATTCCATATGGAGCTGTCCAAATTACTTCTTGTTAATTTGCGCATGGTTGTATGGGATTTTCCAAGACCCCCCAGCTGGCAAATAATAAATTCATAAACATTGCTTCCATTCTTTAAAAGGTACATTTAATAAGTGCAAAATAACTGAGCATTTTTTTTTCACCTTTTCTGCTTTGACAGAACATATCTCAATTTTTACATATTGTGAGCTGTGTGCATTACCTCTGTTACACAAAAGTTCTCAGTTGGTTCGTCATCAGGAGGAGCTGCCACACCTGGTATAGGGGCATATCCTGGAGGTGTTGGGAGTTCTTCAAATGTCACTGGTCTTCCTGCTTTGTGATTTTTGATGGCATCTTGATATTGCTGCATTGTTTCAAAATTAACAACTAGATTAGAGATACAGATTTCTATGAAGTGATAGTGATGTGACCAAATGGCTTATTCCCTCTATGAGATGCACCTGCAGGGAATCATGGTAGCCTATTCACTATCTTGAACTGGATATTAAATTTTGTTTCGATGAATACAACTACCATTGATGATTCCCTACAACTGGCCATTTCAGCATTCAAATATTATTAACTATAAAATCATGTTTTAGAATTTTGAGCAGTGGCAAATGTACTATATAACTTGGGATGAGTAAGATGGATCTGAATTTGCAGTTATTCATGATGAGTAGATCCTAAAATGCAGCTGACCTTGACAATACGTCCCATTCTCCGAGCTTTGCTGGAGTTTCCTTCTTGTTTTGCTTGGTTTGTGGCATGCTGGTATTTTTCCAGTCTCTGTTGCAAAGCTTCTGCAACATCCTTGGGGGGAGGGGGAGGCTCCAAGTTCTTGGGTGCACTGCCTTCTCCTCCTGACTCTGCTGCAGCTGAAGTGCTTGGCTGAGGCTCAGCAGGGGGGTTGACTGACTGTTGAGAGGCTGGTGGGGTCTCACCTTCATAATGAGTAAATTGTGAAACAACAAATTAAAAGAAATAAGACTGTTGGATTAAAAACCAGGAAACCATATCCTGGATTCTTAAATTTGGGGGCGACTTTTGGATTTGGCACCACTTGCCATGTACATAATTATATAGTAACCAATAATTGTACAATAAAATTGCATAGAAAAGAAAAATTAAACACATGGCAAGGCATCCCCACTTAAGTACACCTTGATCTCTCTACAATGTATACACATATTTTATGTTTATAAATATTCTTACCTGATGATGTCTGAGGGGCAGATGGAACAGGAGGTAACTGTGAAATATCCACAACCTCGTCTTTCTCTAGCAGTTCAATAGCTGAATCTATTTGCTGGCAAATGGAAAACAAAATACATGCAAAGGTAAAGGAATGTCAGTCATGCACAGTCTGTGTTTTCAGGGAGCCTGAAGTTAAAAAAATACTTACTGTCTTCTAAATGCAAGTTGCAAAGCCATTATTGCTTAGCAGCAAAAAGCTTAAAATACTCTTAGATTGTCAGTTCTTTTCTCTCTTTTACCTTAGATACAGCCAAAAACTGCTTGGCTTGTTGAATATCTCCCGCTTTCTTGCAAGTCAAAGCAGCTATTCTGTACTGATTCCGCCTTGTTGTAAAAAGTTCTACAGTTTTAATCTTCTCAGACTCAGGAAGCTGAAAAAAAGNAAGCTGGTCTGGCAAAATGGGGAAGACTAAAAAGGATACAAACGCTAGAGTGGCTGGGCAAAGAAAACAAACAAAAGAAAGCACTGTGGAGCAAATGTGTGGTCAACTGTGCATGGATAATATTTCAAATGGTCTCATTGAGTCTGACAATTCATTGATATCGGACTCATCAGAAGAGTCTCTGTCAACATCCCTGTTATTGCTGTCAAGTTCCAACATTTTTACAGAACCTTTCTTTTCTCTTACCACAAATTTTTTTCCCGACTTATATACGATAGTTATAATAGCTTCATCCACGTGGCAAAGTTTTGCCTCTTCACTCATTGATGCATTCTCATTTATTCTTTGCTGTTTTTGCTTTTTCAAACTGGTTTATCTTTTAATGTGGTCTATGTTTACTTATAACTTAATAGAGTTACACCTAATACCAAAAATGCTTGGTAGTCAGAACAATGAGGCTGATCAACTGAGAAGTCAATTCGTGACATCTGTACAGGTAATTCCCGCAAAAATCGTCTTGGTTGATTGCATACACACCATAGGGCTGTCAATCAAGAGGTAAACTTTTACTTCGGGCGAAAACGAAAAACCGCCAGTTCTTCACCAATATTTAGCCTTTCTCAAATTATAACTTTCTCAAACAATAACTTTGATTTTCAGCCAAATCAATTAAAATAAAATTCAAAGCCGCCCGCCAATTGGTCAGTTTCTTTTTACCTTTCCGCTGCTTTTGAAGTATAAAAGTGATTTTCCTGTTATTATAAATCTACCACAGTGTTTTACAGCTACGATCAGTGTGAAGCTTTGCCGTCATGTTTTTTCAGCGGTTTCCCATAACATACGTATCGCGGGCGCAAGAGGCCCCATGCGTTCTTTCACCATGAATTTATTCAGGCGATGTGGTGTCCAAAGATATTCTGAAATCTTTCCGTAATTTATTACAAAGTGNCAACTGGTCGCCAGCGGGCGATTAACTATTTCATGCCACGAAAATTACACAAACAATAACTTTGATTTTCAGCCAAATCAATTAAAATAAAATTCAAAGCCGCCCGCCAATTGGTCACTTTCTTTTTACCTTTCCACTGCTTTTGAAGTATAAAAGTGATTTTCCTGTTATTATAAATCTACCACAGTGTTTTACAGCTACGATCAGTGTGAAGCTTTGCCGTCATGTTTTTTCAGCGGTTTCCCATAACATACGTATCGCGGGCACAAGAGGCCCCATGCGTTCTTTCGCCATGAATTTATTCAGGCGATGTGGTGTCCAAAGATATTCTGAAATCTTTCCGTAATTTATTACAAAGTGGAGACAGAACATCAGCGAAGAAATAAGATGAAGATTTAGATATTCTCTGGGCGTCAAAAGGTGGAAATGTAGATCTGTCAAAGTGGTCAAAATATTATTTCAGCTCTGGTTTGATTCCTGATTCCATCAATTGCAAAGATATTGCCAGCAAGCCCATGGCGACCAAAAATGTTGGTTTGTGTTTCGCTGCAAAGGAAACATTTTATTGACACTTTTTGGCGACTACATTTTTCCATATGGCGACTGAAAAAAAATTTTCAGTCGCCAGTTGGCACCTGCTGCAAAAAGTTAATTTCGGACCCTGAATTTACATATCACAGTACATGTAATACATCAAGAATGCAGTTGACCTCAAAGCACGTTTCAAGACACAACTTACTATCTTGGAATGATTTAGAAATGCCATCTTGGGTTGTCTGCTCAAGTTTTGTAGCCTTGTTACTGGTGCCCAAAACTTCCGGTGCAGCAGCAGGTGGGACTGGCTGTGAAAAAGCTGGAGCTGAAGGTTGAGTAGCTCCTGTGGCGACTGGTGGGGGAACTGCATCCATGTCAATGGGTTTTCCAGCTTTTGCTTGCTTGATCATTTGTTCTATTTCCTTTTACAACAAAAATAATAGCAAACAATGTCAAGGAATAGTTTATGGAATTCTGTGTCACTGTTTGACTACGTCTATCAATTTTAATCCAATTCTATAATTAGATTGCAAGATAAAGGTTTCTGTGTGAGAAAGTAACAATACAATGCAGTTGACTCTCAGTAACTCAAACCCTCAGTAACTTAAATCTTGTGCTAACTCTAACCAAAATTGATTTCCCCTGGATTTGCTTCATACTATACCTTTATTTATACCTTTATTTATACCTTTAATTTTACCCTCAATAACTTAAACCAATCAATAATTCGAAAATCCTGCTAACAAAGTGATTTTTCTTCCCTTCAGGCCACTTTCTTGACAGTTTTTCCCTCAGTAACCAGTAACTTCANCCAAGGGATGAACCTGACCGACCTACAGCTCCCACTGTGTTACAGGATATGCCGTCCTTAGAGCAACACCCAGAACCAGCAAAGGAGAACAGTGCAGGTCCAATTGTCACCCGAAGCAGCAGACAAGTAGTGAAACCTGACCGGCTTGACCTATAGACCAATCTGAGATTGCAAAGACTGTTTTCAGTTGTTGAGTTATTTTGCTTTAAACCAGGAACAGTGACATTTATTTTAAGCCAAAATATTGTTTTATTTTAGTTTATTTTTATTTTATTCTTCAAGTTTTATGTTTCGGAAGGGAAGGATGTGACATCAATTGCATCAATTGACATCAACTGAGTTAGACTCTCCCCTCCCTAGCTAGCCATTATGTGTTGATATATCACGTGACGAAGCACGAGGAATAATTACATTTCCCTTGTCAGCCATCTTGACTGTGTCTCTACATTACAGTATTCTCTTCAGATCTGTTGTTTTGTTTTGTTAGCAAAATATTGTTCCATTTTTAACTCTTCCTTTGTAATGAACCTGATTAAACACATCTCTTCACATCTCTTGATAACCAAACCTCCAGATAAGCAAGAGACCAGAAAACTGAACTTACATACAAGTTACTCTTAAAAGGTTCAACTTTTTAAAGTGCTAAATACCAGTACTTGACCAATATGAAAAAAAGTGGTAAATATAAACATTTTATGACAAATATTATCTTTGGCTAAATTTACATTGAGGTCCTTTAAGGGGGGTCATGCATGCATATATGTATGTCCCCTATTTGAATTTTGAAATCATTTCATGGCAAAATGTTTGGAAGGTCCATACATCACTGTAGGAATTTCAACACAAGTCAAGTCATCATTCATCATTTCAACAGCCTCAAAATTACTGAACAATATCATGTTGCATGTCAGAATTCTGATGTGTAAATGGGTTGTTGGAGTGTAAATAGGTGCTAGATTAGAGCAATGGGTAAAAAGAAGTAGCTGCAATTTACAGACTCTATCATACCTTGAGTCCTCTCCCATATCTCCTGGCCTTGCTCCCCTCACCAGCCTTATTTGCATTTTCTATTGCTTGCTTGTAATTTTTCTCCCTTTCCAACAACAGCTCAATATCAGATGAACTTCCTTCGGAAACCTGATAAAGACATTAAAGGTTATTAAACAATTCCAATCATTTTCTGAAAAAAAAAAACTACTAAGCAGATTTCCAAACATTGAGAAAGATTTCTAGAACTGAAGAGATTCAAACATATTTTCACTGCAAAACAAAAATGTTTAAATCATTCATTACTAACACAAGGCAAGGACCTTTAGTTAGCAAATTTTGATGTGATCAACTGCACACGTAAATTATTCAAAAATATATATTTAAATTATAATTTTTTATGTGTAACAATTATCATGATTTATTTTCAGCAGTAAAAATCAACACTGCAGCAGCACTTTATATAATAAAAGGAGCTACTTTTAAGAAAATAACTAATTTTATTTTTACTGACGAGAAAATAAAAACAATTTGTTAATTTGACCTGTTGGTTACTGCTTGTTGCTGGTGCAGAAGGAAGTAAGACTGGTGTCGGATCTCGATGTTCTGCACCATCTTCTCCTGGAGCAATACATTGAAGTTCAGCCTACAAGATAAACTCTAATATCATTACATGTACTTTGAGTGTATCAGTCCTGTAGACAGATGGATACAGGCAAATTTTGGAGGCAACCAGCAAAATAGGGATGCAGACTGTCCGGCAGTTTACAGCCTCTGTACTGTCTTGATACTGTGCCTAGAGGTATTTAGAATTCAGTGCAGATTAAAAGTAATAGACTGTTTTTGATTAAAATACAGCTTGGCAGTGAGTCCTAGAGGACACAAACAAACAAAATTGAATGAGCATGTTTATTCATTTCTCTTGTTTGCGCCTCTAGGCCTTGCTATAAAGCTGAATTTTAATGTATCGAAAGTACTGTAGCCTGCTGTAAGGTGTTGTAAAGTGTGCAAATATTAAACAATAAATTATTATTGGATGAGGTTTTTGTGATAATTATCCACAATAATCAAGGTCGAGGCAGTGGTTATCAGCCAAAGCCAAAGGCTAAGGCTGATAACCCTCAGCGAGACCTTGATTATTATAGATATCACAAAAACCAAATCTAATAATTGTTTTATTATATATTGAACGAAAAAAAAAATTGTCATGACAGTCATGTTTTTTCACTGACGGCAAGCAACACAAAGCGCACCAACTTGACATGATTACCCTTAGAAATCATGCACTGCGGTCATACATGACATGGGTACCCATGACCTTGAGTGTCCTTAACATGATTATTGTATAATCTGCAGCTAGATGATATCACAAGCGCTGATTTTGAAAATTCACTGTACGCTTTCGGCCAATCAGAAAAGAGATAGTGAGTTCAAAGTATAATAATCATAATATCACAACCATACAGTACCGCCTGATTTTACCTAGGTAAAGACGAGGTCGAGTGCGGGAATACCGCGTCAATGATGCGTGGAGGCCCCGCGGCAAGAACGCGGGAAAGGGGGTTAATATTTTCAGGTGGTACTGTAAGTCTATGTAAATATCACAACTTCTGAATTCTAATCCAGACTGTGCTTAAGTAACACTCCACAGACAACGAGTCAGGTTTGTCACAAAGTTTTGAAATACAGCTATTATGGCTTTACTGTTAGAATACGTCACTCAGATGAATAGCCAGGCAAGTAGCTGTCCATAATCATGAAAATAATAGATGAGGTGTTAGAGTTTTTTTTGTCAGTAGTGGACTACTTTTGGCAACTATAAAAACTTATATAGACACAGGTCTGTACAATGTACATGAACACAAGCACAACTGTACATTTTTTGTTTTCATACATACACTGTACTTTGTCAAAGTATGGTTTAAGAAGACCTTGGCAGTGATACATGTACATCAAAGATTTGTTTTTTTAAAGTAAAACTAGGAAATTTAACTTGTTATGTTGTGTAAGAACCTTACCAACAACTGAGGGTCATTTTCATCAAAGTCGTTGTCGTCATCATCATCATCATCCATATCTACATCATCCATCAGATTAGCAGATTGTCCTCCTGGCTCTAAACAATATAAAGGTTTTTTAGACTGAGAAAGACTTCATTCGACCAGTGTTTTTATAACATGTTTGGCTATCCACCTACATGCAAACAATCAAAAGGAATTGAATTCCCACATGTGGAAGATGTATTTCAAGTTTTGAATGATGTGAAAGTACAAATGTTTCAACAAAATAAGATTGTTGTCAGTATTTTGAATATTATAACAGCAGCACACCCCAATAACAGCTATGAATTTAGACTATAGAAAAGTTATGCCACAAAAAACTGTCATAAAGTAACATTGTTTCCTTAGAAATATGTCTCATTAAAAATCCCAGGTTGAATCATAAGAACACTTACTTTTTTTCTTTACTTTAGACCGTGATTCCCCCTGTAGCGCAGCCAACTCTGCCTCAAGACTTTCATCATCATCATC